ATGCCTACAGCACCTGGTCTTCCTAGGTGGTCTCCCATCCAAGTACTAACCAGGCCCAACCCTGCTTAGCTTCCGAGATCAGACATCGGGCTTGTTCAGGGTGGCATGGCCGTAGACCACAGACTATGGCTCCACTGGGGTGCGAATCCAGGACCTTCTGCATGTAAAACAGACATGCTAACCGCTCTACTATGGAACCACATCCACATCACAGAATATTGACATGCATTCGGGCAATCTGTGTCATGTTCGTTTGGGGTGCTCTGGTGGTAAGCTTCTTCCGGATCTCGGGGCGTTGCTGTTGGAGCTGGGGGGGGGCAGGATTCTCACCTTGCCTTTGCCCTTGACTTAGTAAGGGTGAGTCTCCTCCCAGTTTTTGAATCTTCGAAATGCAGAGGTTTTAGCACATCATCGAAAGGGTACGGAATATAATCCGTATAATCTACAGTATGTGATCAGTCCGACGTGCCTTGGCCGATCATCCCTGGAGAGGAGAGGAGGGAGGGGCTGGTCTCTCACTGTGTGCACGGGGAACAGCATTTGTCTGGGAATTGGGGCCTGTGGAAATCCAGCCCAGGAAGCGGGGTGACCGTTAGGGATGCTCAGGGAAGAGGAGGGGTTGCCTTTCATCGCGACACCCGAGATCTCTTAGGATGTTTCGGGATTGTCCAGAGTGCTCTCATACCTGCTGAAGTGCCTGCCCTGAAGGACACTCATTTTCCTATTTTTCCATGATCGTTGACCAAGCACGTCGCATCCTTACGGTCCCACATTGTGCTGCCCTTCTCTCTGAAGTGAACGGAATCTTTGAATTAGTGCGAGCCCTCGCTATTACTTTCCATGCTGTGAGGAAGGAGGCCGCTTGCAGCAGCGTCACCATGTTTCATGAAGATGTGACTCTCATCGGGAGGTAGAGAATGCCATCGAGAAGGACCTGTGGAGCGCGACCTGGGCTCAGCGGCCAGCTGGCTGTTCACAGAGCAGCATTTCTGCACGTGGCCTGATCGGCACTCATCTCTCGCATTCGAAGTATTAAGAAACACGCTACATTAAAGCAGCACCAAGTGCAGGATTATAACTCTTATTAGAGCAGCAAAATGTAAAACGTTCCGGCTTAGTAAATCAATCGGGCTCGATTTATCCATAAGCACTTGCAAAGCTCGCAAAGGGCAGCTGACAAATAATTATTGTTTATGGCGATTATGTAAGGAAGTCATTTAATCCAGTGACGGTCACACTGTTCCTTATCGAGACGTAGCGGCAGTGCCTCTTTGTGGCTGGGGTGGGCAGCTCTGGTGTTCTGGTGGCTGCCCCGAGCCTTAGCATCGCAGGCGAGGACGTGTGCCGGTGCCCGTCCCCGCGACACCCCCGGGGGACACGCTGAGGATTGCTGTGTGCCGGCTGCTCTTGCAGTGAAAGCAGTGGAAGGAGGCGCCTTCGGAATCACACCGCTAATTTTTATTTTCCCCGTTATGAAAATGTCCGTGATTTGAATTGCAAACTCCGCAGTCTTGCCAAAATGACTGTATTCAGCATTCAAAGTCGAACCCGAAATGGCTGGGGTTAGTTATTATGTAACTTATTTGAATAAAGGGATGTTTATTCATGAAGTGTGAGGAGAAAGTGTGAATAAAGGCCTTATGTCACGGGGAGCGGGGTGTAGACCCCACCAGGGTCTGAGGCCTGGTCCTTGGGCCGTTTTGGGGAAACACTGCACTGTCGTTGATTGTAAAACAGGAGATCCTGGCAGGTCATGCACAGGACTGTAAAGTGACCGGGCGAGGGGACGTCCCAGTCCGTGACCACTGTGTAACTGCGGACTCCGAGGCGTAGGATCTGACCGTGTTGTTCGAATGAGACTATCAGTGTTTACAGTCCGTGTTTTGTTATTTAAATGACAGGTTACTGAGAGTGATGAAGCCGGGCACATAGCATTCTCTTCGCTGGCGGCCTTAAACTGTAACTGGAATTTCCATTCGTGCATTAATAAGAAAATTAAGTGTATGTGCTAAAGACTCAAAGAGCAAAAGCAACCCTACGTAGAGTTGAGAGAAGCACAGGGATCGACTCACTAATTATTAGATGGCTTAATGTAGATAGGAAAACACACATCATGATGAGCGAGGGTCGGGCGCCTTTAATAAGTATGACGGTAAATAAACCGGAAGTCATAGATATATACATGTTAAAAAGTGGGTTGGTATCCTGTTGTCATAAAGCCATTTTTGATGGTGGTGTGTGAGAGAAGGAACATTCAGCCGGGAAACAGAGCGATCCTTTGTCTCTGGACTCTGGATGGCCCTTTAGAGACAGTCCATGTGCCTCTGAGTGCTGTCTGCCCTGGTGGCGAGCCCGTGAAGAGATTGCCCACGGGTAAACTGGAGTGGACCTGCCGTGCAGATGTGTGGCTGAGCATGTGTGCACGTATGTGTGTGCGAGCACACGTGTGTGCACGTGAGCATGCGGGAGTGTATTTGTGTGTGTGATGGGCATATGTGCATGAGCATGCATGAACGTGTGTGTTTCTGTGCACGTGTGAGCATGTGTATGTGTATGCATAGATGCGTGTGTGTGCGTGAACATGCATACGTGTGTGTGTGGATGAGCATGTGTGTAATTGTGTGCATGAGTGTGTGTGTGTGTTTTGATCTAAAC